CTCACGCCCTTTGGTCACTTAACAATATCTTGTTGTGTTAGTCGCTCAGTAGTGTCCGACTCTTTTGCGACCCCAAGGACTGTAGCTCGCCAGGCTCCTCTGTCCATGGATTCTCCAGGCAAGAATACTAGAGTGGGTAGCCATTCCCTTTTCCAGGCATCTTCCCAGATATGGACTGTGTCAATTATGTGTAAGTTTTACAGTCTTCAGCCACTGCCCTGGGCTACCACTGTTATCTATCTTTATTGCCCTTCTTCTCAGCAGCACAGGCACACACATCTCTGTCCACGTGGCAGTACCAGTGTGGACTGTCCCCGCAGTGAGGTTTCTGGGTCAAAGGGAAGATGTCTTGAAACCTAGTAGTAACTGACAACTTGCCAACTCCAGGGGTTTTGCACCATAATATTGATACAGGTGGGGCTTCCCAGGTGATTCAGCAGTAAATAATCTACATGCCAATGCAGGAGACTTGTTCCCTGGGTGGGGAAGGTCCCTTGGAGGAGGAAATGGCAACCTGCTCCAGTATTCTTGCCTGGGAAATCCCACGGACAGAGGAGCCTGGTGGGCTACAGTCCCCAGGGTCACAAAGAGTCAGACACGACTGAACGACTAAGCGACAACAACTGATACAGGTGAGCCCTTGGAGGGCTGTGTGCAGACCTTGCTCTTTAAGTTGTGGCCCCAAGACCAGCTGCTTCAGCAGCAGCTGGGAGCTTGTTGGAAATGCAGACTTCTGACCTGATGAATCAGCACCATTTTGAACAGGCTCACAAGTGCGTGTAATTGATCTAGAGGCAGAGTTCTAGGAAACTGGGGGGTGGCGGAGCCCTGAGGCAGGTATGAACCGGGCCTTCCCCATGGAGGGAAGCAAGAGGCAGGCTGTACCCTGACTAGTCCTTCTGTCCACAGTGCGTGCTTCTGAGAAATGTCTGCTGACGAGCCTGAAGCCCCTGCCAGCACCCAGGTGATGGCTGCGGAACCGGTACAGCAGGTGAGGAAGGCCTGGGATCTGTGGGAGGAGCCTTCCCACACGGGGAGCTTTGGCAGGAGGCTGCTGGCAGCACAGGGGGGTCGAGTACTAGGCTCTAGCAGGTACCCCATTAACAGGCGAAGGTGGGAGAACTTGGGGTTCCAAGGGCTCTTGGGAGAACAGGGGTTCTCCTCTTTGAAACTGCCTGGCTCCCCCAGGCAGATCTTTCCTGTCTCTACAGGTTCTCTTAGAGTCCTCCTTCTAAGAAAGTCAGTTTCTATTTCCACTTCTTCTTCCCAGTTTAAATAAAATTCCCCCTGCTACATTTTTTTTTTTTTGTGGCCATGCCAGGACTCTTGGGATCTTAGTTCCCCAAACAGGGAACTCAACAGTGAACCAGCCCTCAGCAGTAAACGCTAGGCATCCTGAGCACTGAACTGCCAGGGAGTTCCCCAAAGCCCCTTTTAATAAACACCTTTTTAAAAATACCTAAATGATATTTTAAAAATAAGGTATCATTCACATACCATAATTGGAGAAGGAAATGGCAGCCCAATCCAGTGTTCTTGCCTGGACAATTCCATGGAGAGAGGAGCCTGGTGGGCTACAGTCCGTGGGGTCTCAAAAGAGTCTGACACGACTAAGCGACTTATACATGCACACACACATACCATAAAATTCACCCTTATGAGGACTTCCCTGGCAGTCTAGTGGTTAAGACTCTGCATGCTCACTGCAGGGGGCATGGGTTCAATCCCTGGTGGGGGAACTAAGATCCCATGTGCCCCATAATAAGGCCAAAAAAAAGAGATGATGAAGCATTTTTAAAAAGTTTACGCTTATGAAGAGTACTACTCAATGATTTTCAGTAAATTACCCATATGCAGCTATCACCACCTCACTGGACATTTTTCATCTCCCCCCAGAAGAGACCCTATATCCACTAGCAGTCACTCCTCATTTCTCTTTCTCCTGGGAACTCCTTATCTAGGTTCTGTCTCTGCTGACTTGCCTGTTTTGAACATTTCATATAAATGGAGACATACACTATGATACCCTTTTGTATCTAGTTTCTCTCACTGAGCATTATCTTTTTGAGGTCCCTCTATGTTGTACAGATAGCATCTGTTGGTATTCTGTTCCCTTACTTTTTTAAAAATAAATTTTTATTGGAGTATTTTGACTTCCCTGGTGGCTCTGTGTAAAGAACCCTCCTGCCAGTGCAGGATACAAGAGACGAGGGTTCGATTCCCTGGGTTGGGAAGAACCCCTGGAGAAGGAAATGGCAACCCACTCCAGTATTCTTACCTGGAGAATCCTATGGACAGAGGAGCCTGGTGGGCTACAGTCCATGGGATCACAAAAGAATCAGACATGACTTAGCGACTAAACAACGACAGCAAGTGGACTTTTATTTATTAATACAATTAATAACTAATACATTAATACAATGTTGTTCATCTCTCCTATACAGCAAGGTGAGTCAGTTATACGTATATCTACTGTTTTTTAGATTCTATTTTCATAGGTCATTACAGAATATTGAGTAGAATTCTTTGTGCTATATAGTAGGTCCTTATTAGTTTTCTCATTCCTTTTTAAAAATTATGGTGAAATACACAGAAAAAAAAAAAAAAACAATTTAAACGGTTTGAAAGGGGCAAGCCAAGGGCAATAAAGAAAATCAAAAGGGAAAAACAACAACAACGGCCTAATCCAAAAACCCTTCCCCAACCCAAAATGAAAACCCAAAACCAACAAAAAGCAAACCCGTTCCCCTCTCCCCCAGCCTCTGACAACCACTAAACTGCTTCCTGCCAATGGATTTACCCACTGGACATCTTGTATAAGTAAAATAAGTAGAATCATATTTATAAAAGTAGAACCTTCTGGGACTTCCCTGGTGGTCTCAGGACTCTGTGCTTCCACTAGAGAGGGTGAGGGTTCCATCCCTGGTCACGGAGTTCAGATCTCACAAGCCACAGCCAAAAAAAAAAATATAAAATCTTCTGCATGGAATCATACAGTATTTGTCCTGTGTCTTGCTTATTTCACCAAACATAATGTCCTCAAGGTTCACCCGTGTTGTGTCAGAATTTCCTTTTTAAGGCTGAGTCCTCCTATCCCACTTTGTGCACGGACCACAGGACACTTGGCTTGCTTCCACATTTTAGCTATTGGGAATAAAGCTTCTTTGACCATGGGTATACAGATACCTCTTTGAGATTCTGTTTTCAATGCTTTTGTCTATATACCCAGAAGTGGAACTGCTGGATCATGTGGTAATTCCATTTTTAGTTTTTTGAGGATCACCATGATGCTGTCCCTCGTGGCGGCATCATTTTGCTCTCCCACTAAGAGCACACAAGGGCTGCAGCTTCTCCACGTTCCCACCATCACTAATTAATATCTGTTCATTTGATAGTAGTCATCACAGTGAGTGTGGGGTATGAGGTGGTATCTCATTGTAGTTTTGACTTGAATTTTCCTAACGAGTTGTGACATGGAGAGTCTTTCCTTGTACCTGTTAGCCCTTTGAAGGCTGTATTTGTGTGTCTGTGTGTCTGTATGCGGGCTTTTCTCTAGCTGTGGCGAGCGGGGGCTGCTGCTCATTGCAGTGTGCGGGCTTCTCATTGCGCTGGCGTCTCTCGTGGAGCACGGGCTCTAGGATGCAGGGCTGAACAGTTTCGGCTCCCGGGTTCTCGCGCACAGGCTATTGTGGCGCACAGGCTTAGCTGCTCCGTGGCATGTGGGATCTTCCCGGACCAGGGATGGAACCTGTACCTCTTGCATTGGTAGGTGAATTCTTTACCACTGAGCTGCCAGGGAAGTCCTTGGAGGCTATGAATTTCTAAAGACATGCTTTATACCACATTTTCTTTATCCATTCACCCATTCATGGACATTTGGATTTTTTCCATTTATTGGCCATTGTGAATAGTGCTGGTGAAAACATTCATGTACAAACCTTATGTGGACATGTGTTTTCCTGTCTCTGGGGTAGAATCATAGGAGTAGTATTGCTGGGTTTTGTGGTAAATTTGTGATTAATTTCTGAAGAGACCTGGGCAAACGCTGAAGGAGGACTGCCTGAGTCCAAGGTCCAGCTTTGCCATTGGCTAATTTTGTGACCTGGGATGACTTTACTTAGCTTCTTCTTGCCCCAGTTTACCTGTCTGTAAAATTGGAATAATACTCCCAACCTCCTGGGACTGGCGATTGCACAAATTCTACAGGTAGCACCTATGAGACTTAAGTCTTATGTATGCGTCTTCACATGGGTCACCTTTGCAACTCCTTTAGGATAGAAATGACTTCTCATTTTATGGGTCAGGAAACTGAGGCTCACAAGGCCTGTCTGACTACTCAGTTCTGCTCTTGTAGGTTAAGAACGTCTATATTCAATACATAAGTGAATGGGTATAGCCATGTGCCAATAAAACTTTATTTACGAAAACCAGGTAGCATGGCATATCATACCATAAAAGAATGAGGTACTGACATGCAGTGCCATGGGGATGAAACTTGGAGATGTGTTCAGTGAGGGAAACCAGGCACAGAAGGACAGATACCGTCTGATCCCATTCACAAGAGGTCCTTAGAGGAATCAAATCCATAGAGACAAGTAGATGGTGGGGCCAGGGGCTAAGAGAGGGGAGTCAGTGTTTAAAGGGGACAGATTTTCAGTTTAAGAAGTTGAGAATCTGGAGACAGATGCTGCCAACGGTTGCACAACAATGTAAGTATACTTAATGCCACTGAGCTGTGCATGTAATTATTTAAATGGTAAATTTTATGTGTACTTTACCACAATTTTTTAAAAAAGGAGTGAAGCACTGACACACGCTACTGCATGGATGAACCTTGAAAATGTCACTGAGTCAAAGAGGCCAGACACAGAAGGCCACGTGTGATTCCATTTTTTTGTGAAGCGTCCTGAACAGGCAGAAATCCACAGAGACAGAAAGTGGATTCANGTGAAGCCTGGAAGCCCATGGACCGTCCACTCCGGGTGGGGGAGGCGGGGCGGTGTCTGTGGACCCTCCCAGAGCCCCTGAGGAACGTACATGCGCAGTAACCATCAGCTGTCTATCGCCCCCACCCCCGCAGTCACCTCGGCCAGTGAATACGCCCACAGGGGGCTGGACAAACTGGAAGAGAATCTGCCCATCCTGCAGCAGCCGCCGGAGAAGGTGACTAACCCCCTCCATGAGGGGCGGGGTGGGAAGGATGCTCCACTAAGACTGGGGGCCTACCTGGGTAGGGGGTCTGTGGTCTCAGCTTAACCGTAGCAGACAAATATGACCACATTTATTCTCCCACCCCCTCCCACTGGGCAGCTGGAGGAACATTCTGAGCGCTAGCCAGGTATGCCCAAAACCCCCTCGGGCCTTCCACCTTGCCCGGAGCAAAAGCCAGAGTGTTCCTGGTGGTTCCACCTGGTCTGGCTCCACTGCCCCCCGACCCTCTACGCCCACCTCACTTGCTCCATTCTGTCCGGGCTGGCCTCCGTCCTCCAGTTCAGTCACATCAGTCCCACATGTACGGGACAGGGTGATGGATACAGAGCCCTTGCCTTCATGCAACTTTCATCTTGGGGAGGCAGGGGAAAGCAGAGACAGTGAACACACCCATCTCAGAGCTGCCTCAGGACCTTTGCACATTCCATTCCTTCTCTGTAGACCAGGCTGCCAAGTCTCTGAACTTTCTCTGCACATGTTCTTTCTCTGCACCATTCAATATGGAAACCAACAACCATATGTGGGTGTTGGGCCCTTAGAAGGTGGCTAGTATGACTGAGGAGCTCAGTTACTAATTTTAATTATTTTAAATTTTATTTTTTATTTACTTTCTTTGGAATTTTTGATGTGGACCATCTTTAAAGTTTTTATTGAATTTGTTAGTCTTGCTTCTGTTTTATGTTTTGTTTTTTTGGCCCCAAGGCATGTAGACAGACTGGATTAGGATCCACTATAATGGCCTCATTTTACCTTAATTACTGCTTTAAAGTTCTCATCACTAAATACAGTCACATTCTGAAGTCCTGGGGGCTTCAGTACCCTTCAGCCCATAACACCATGGGAAGAAGTGGAGGCCCAGAGAGGTCAAGTGACTTGCCTGAGGGCCCACAGCTTGGATATATCAAGCCAAGGACTCTAACTGGGCCATCCAGCCCCAGAGCATGTGATCTTAACTGCTCTCACCATTCAGGGTCACCCAGGAGCTGGAGCTCCTCCCTTCAGCCCACCTAGAGGTTGGGGTGCAGGGGTGGGGGCACCTAGGTACGAAGGGAGAATGGAGATGCTGATGCTGGCCCTTCTTGCAGGTCCTGGCAGACACCAAGGAGCTGGTGTCGTCCAAGGTGTCAGGGGCCCGACAGGCTGTGTCCAGCACAGTGTCCAGTGCCAAGGACACTGTGGCCTCCCGAGTCACCGAGGCAGTGGACGTCACCCGGGGTGCCATGCAGAGCGGCGTAGACTTGACCAAGTCCGTGGTGACCAGCGGCGTCCACTCAGTCGTGGGCTCCCGTGTGGGCCAGATGGTGCTGAGTGGAGTGGACACAGTGCTGGGCAAGTCGGAGGAGTGGGTGGACAACCACCTGCCCATGACGGATGCCGAGCTCGGTGAGTGCAGGCCTTGCCTCTGGGACCCCTCCCCGGACCATCTGATGTGGGTCCCTCTTAGCCAGCTGGAGTCTGCCCCTCACAGCCTGTCGTCTGGTCCCTGCTGCCTCTCCCCATCCATCTTAACCCGCCTCAATCAGCTTGGTTCCTCTGCCCTGGTGCATGGTATCTGTCCTCCCTGAAGCAGCCTCCAGAGGGCGCCGGCGAGCACTCGTCAGGCCCCCTCCTCTGCCGGCCGTCCTCCAGGGCTCCCATCTCCCTGTGGGTAACAGCCCCGATCCTCCTGGAAGCTCCCTTGTACTTACCCACCTGCCCTCATTCATTCTGCTCCAGGCTCACTGGCCTCCTTGCCCATCCTTCCCGTGTGTTCCCACACCGGGGCCTTTGCACTGGCCTTTTCTTCTACCAGGAACCCTTACACGACATCTAGATGGCTCGTTCCCTTCCACCTCCAGCTTTGTGCTCACATGCCACACACACACCCCCCCCCACCCCAAATCCCCCATAAAAAAATCACACCATTCCTTGCCCATATTATGTCCTGAAACCTCCCTTGACTTGGCTCTGATTTCTGTCTAGTCATCAATTCCACTAAGCAGAAGCTGTGTCCCCTGTCTGGTGCCCAGCAGGTGCTCAAGTCCCCGAATGAAATCACTGAAACTCTTCTCTATCATTCTACCCATACCCAGGCATCTATTTGTTCAAACCTTGAGCACCAGTCATATGTCAAACTTGCTTCCATGTTCTAGGGATATGTCAGTGAACAAAGTTCTGCCCTCATAGAACCTAGTCTCAAGGGTACAGAAATTAGATTAAAGGAGATGTTTCTGAGGAGGTGACCTTGCCCTGAGGTATATGAAGCTGTGCTGATGTCTGAGCAGAGAGACCAGGGGACAGCGTGGTGCCTGATGTGTGTGGGAGGAGCAGGGAGGAGGCACGTGTGGCTGGAGCAGAGTGAGCCTCGGAGAGAGAGGGAAGGGCAGGGAGTGTACGGGTGCAGATTGTGGAGGGCCTTGTGAGCCATAGGAGGACTTGGGCTTTCACCCCTAGGGAGATGGGAACCCTGGGCCACTGTTAACAGAGCGGGCGGGGCCTGACTCAGTGTTCACAGGCGCCCTCTGGTGGCTGCTATGGGAAGGACACGGGGTGAGAAGCAGAGGAGACCCTGATGGTCTAGGTGAGCTGTGATGGGGCTGGACCAGATGGTGGCAGGAATAAACCAGGGGTGAAAGAACTGAGATGAAGCGGCCAGTCCTACTCGTGGCTTGTGGAGTTGGCCTTGGCCCTGTGCTCGAGGCACGGCCATCCTTTGCACATCATGCCGGGAACTTAGTGCTGATGTCTGAGCAGAGAGACCAGGGGACAGGGTGGTGCCTGATGTGTGTGGGAGGAGCAGGGAGGAGGCACGTGTGGCTGGAGCAGAGTGAACCTCGGAGAGAGAGGGAAGGGCAGGGAGTGTACGGGTGCAGATTGTGGAGGGCCTTGTGAGCCACGGGAGGACTTGGGCTTTCACCCCTGGGGCGATGGGAACCCTGGACCACTGTGAACAGAGGGGGCGGGGCCTGACTCAGTGTTCACAGGCGCCCTCTGGTGGCTGCTATGGGAAAGACACTGGGGTGCGAAGCAGAGGAGACCCTGATGGTCTAGGTGAGCTGTGATGGGGCTGGACCAGATGGTGGCAGGAATAAACCAGGGGTGAAAGAACTGAGATGAAGCGGCCAGTCCTACTCGTGGCTTGTGGAGTTGGCCTTGGCCCTGTGCTCGAGGCACGGCCATCCTTTGCACATCATGCCGGGAACTTACAGCCGTACCAGTGTTGCACACACCAGTGCCCATGGCAACAAGGGTCCCCGAGGGCCACGTGTACCCAGACACCACACTCCATCCAGGGGGAGCAGGGCCAGTGATCTCAGGCCCTGCAGCTCCTGGGTTGAGGGTCACATGTCACTTGGCCTTTGAGTTTTCAAAATTTTATCCTGCCTCTCTTAATGGAAGGGATCCGGCTGATGTCTTCCATCTTGCACCCTAAGTTCAGTGCCTGCTGGCTCCTCTTAGTGCTCAGACGGAGTAAGATGCAGCTGTGAGTCTTGGTCAGCAGAAGGCAGAGGAAGACGCAGAGTTTGCAGGGAGGCAGGTTGTGAGCCAGGCCTGGGAGCCACTTCAGAGAACAGATCTATCTGACCAGCTTTGATTTTCCGTGCTTTCTTTTGTGTCCATCTGCTAAGGATGAACAGCTTCCCTGGTGGCTCAGTGGTAAAGAATTTGCCTGCCAGTGCAGGAGATGTGGGTTGGATCTGTGGGTGGGGAAGATCCCTTGGAGGAAGGAATGGCAACCTGCTCTACTAATCTGGCCTGGGAAATCCCATGGACAAAGGAACCTGGCGGGCTACAGTCCAGGGGATCATAAGGAGTCGGACACGACTTAGTGAATAAACAACAACAACTAAGGACAAAATCACTGTGCAGAGGGGTGCTTAAAGTGCTGGGGAGTCTGTGAGTTAAGGTGCCATGTCATAGCTGGGATGCTACTCATGGGCTCCTGCCAGAATAGCCCTGCTCTCCCCATCTCCTGGGTCTCCCCTTTGCCAAGGGCACCTGCCCCCTCCAGGGCCCTGCCAGCTTGCTCCCACATGCCTGGACTCTGCCACACAGCTCACTTCAGTTCAGTTGCTCAGTCGTGTCTGACCCTCTGTGACCCCATGGCCTGCTGCACGCCAGGCTTCCCTGTCCGTCACCAACTCCCAGAGCTTGCTCAAACTCATGTCCATCAAGTGGTGATGCCATCCAACCATCTCATCCTCTGTCATCCCCTTCGCCTGCCCTCAATCTTTCGCCACATCAGGTCTTTTCCAATGAATCATATCTCATTGGTCTTTTCCAATGAGTCAGTTGCCAGACAACCTTGACCTAAATAACAAAGCTGCTTTCACTTCTGAGGGCAGAGCTCCAGGGTTCCGAGAGGGCCATGGAGATGTTCTGACCAGTAGCCTGGGTTCAGAATGTTGTCGGTTTGGATTTAGTCTTTGCAGACTTGCCTTTGGTCAGGAGAATGGGGCAGGTTTGTTTTTCCCAAGATGCCAACTTTTGTTTTTGTTGCTTTTAAATGTCCCGGGTGTTTAGTATTTTTGTTCAGTTATTTGTTTGTTTTATACATTGTATAATCCTTTTTTTGAAGTTTAAAAAAATTTTATTGAAATATAGTTGATTTACAATGTTGTGGTAGTTTCAAGTATACAGCAAAGTGATTCCATTTTACATACATGCATGAATATATTCTTTTTTAGATTCTTTTCCATTACAGGAAAAGAATATATTACAGGATATTGAGTATAGTTCCCTTTGCTATAGAGTAGGTCCTTGTTAGTTATCTTTCTCATTTAGTTTTTACTTTTATTTATTTAAAAAAAAATTATTTATTTATTTTATTTGGCTGCTCTGGATCTTAGTTGCAGAATGCAGAACAAATCTTTGATTTTTGTCATGGCAGGCAGGATCTTTAGTTGTAGCAGGTGAACTCTTAATTGTGGCATGTGGGATCTAGTTCCCTGACCAGGGATTGAACCTGAGCTCCCTGAATTGGGAGCTTGAAGTCTTAACCACCAGGGGGGTTCCTTTTTTTTTTTTTAAATATAACTTTTTTTCAGGGGATTACATTTTCTTGACAGGCCAGGTGGTAAATAATTTGGGCTTTTTTGGGCCATACAGCCTCTGTTCCAACTATGCAACTCTGCTATTGTAGCACAGAAGCGTAGTCAGTAGGTAAATGAATGGGTATAACTGCATGTCAATAAAATTTTGTTCACAAAAGTAGGTGGCATTCGGCCCAGGGACTGTATTTGCAGACCCTGCTATAGGGCATTTCAAATTCAGATAAGGTTACTTACAAAACTCAAACTGTAAGAGCTACTATATTAAAATCTACAGGGAGCAGAATAAGATAGGATCAGGCTATCAAGATAGATGGATTTCCATCCTGTTGCCTTGTGACTTTATGGGTATTTTCTGGACTAGACAGTCCTAACTTTTCCTTAACTACTGTGAAGATGGTTCTCTTGTGGCTCAGACTTCTTCTCCCGTCAAGTATCATGGTTAAGAACATGGGGCCTGGCGTCAAATCTTGACTTGTGGAGCCCCAGCTCTGTGACCTTCGGCAAGTCAATTAATCTCTCTGAGCTCCAGTTTCCCCATCTGTAAAAATGGGATGACAGTGCTTCCCTATTAGAGCTGTTAAGATTTAACAAGAATACATGCGAGGGACTTGCCTGGTGGTCCAGTAGTTAATAATCCAGGTTCCCAATGTAGGGGGCACAGGTTGGATTCCTGGTCGGGGAACTAAGATTCCTGAATGCCACACAGCATGGCCAGAAAAAAAAAAAAAGAGAAAACAGAATGCATGCAGAGCACCTAGAACATTGCAAAAGATTGACCACTATTAATATATGCTAGGACCTATACAGGCAGGATTGGCCAACTTTTTTTGTAAAGGATCAGATAATGAATATATTGTTAAAAGTATTTATTTATTTATTTCGTTGTACGGGGTCTTAGTTGCAGCATACGAGATCTTTAGTTGAGGGATGCAAACTCTTGGTTCCAACATGTGGGATCTAGTTCCCTGACCAGGGATCAAATCCAGGCCCCCTGCATTGGGCGCAGAATCTTAGCCACTTAACCAGGAATTCCCAAACAATATTTTAATCTCTGCAGGCTAAGAGGCCATCTACTCTGCCACTATAGTTTGAAAGCAGCTGTAGACAGCGTATAACGAACATGTGCAATTGTATTCACGGGTTGGATCATATAAAACTGGAGGCAGGGCAGATACAGTCCAAGGGTCATAGTGTTCAGACCCTCACATTAGTCTAAGGCCTCTTAATCCCAGGATATTTGGCCCCCATCCTACCCATTTCACAGATGAGGAAAAAGCCAAGGGAGGGAGATCCTTTTACGCTTGCGGACAGTTTCCCCATCTGTAAAAATGGGATGACAGTGCTTCCCTATTAGAGCTGTTAAGATTTAACAAGAATACATGCGAGGGACTTGCCTGGTGGTCCAGTAGTTAATAATCCAGGTTCCCAATGTAGGGGGCACAGGTTGGATTCCTGGTCGGGGAACTAAGATTCCTGAATGCCACACAGCATGGCCAGAAAAAAAAAAAAAGAGAAAACAGAATGCATGCAGAGCACCTAGAACATTGCAAAAGATTGACCACTATTAATATATGCTAGGACCTATACAGGCAGGATTGGCCAACTTTTTTTGTAAAGGATCAGATAATGAATATATTGTTAAAAGTATTTATTTATTTATTTCGTTGTACGGGGTCTTAGTTGCAGCATACGAGATCTTTAGTTGAGGGATGCAAACTCTTGGTTCCAACATGTGGGATCTAGTTCCCTGACCAGGGATCAAATCCAGGCCCCCTGCATTGGGCGCAGAATCTTAGCCACTTAACCAGGAATTCCCAAACAATATTTTAATCTCTGCAGGCTAAGAGGCCATCTACTCTGCCACTATAGTTTGAAAGCAGCTGTAGACAGCGTATAACGAACATGTGCAATTGTATTCACGGGTTGGATCATATAAAACTGGAGGCAGGGCAGATACAGTCCAAGGGTCGTAGTGTTCAGACCCTCACATTAGTCTAAGGCCTCTTAATCCCAGGATATTTGGCCCCCATCCTACCCATTTCACAGATGAGGAAAAAGCCAAGGGAGGGAGATCCTTTTACGCTTGCGGACTGGGGCATAAACTGCCTTCACCATGCTTCTCCTGCCTCCCCATCGCAGCCCGCCTCGCCACATCCCTTGAGGGTTTCGACATCGCCTCGGTGGCCCAGCAGCGCCAGGAACAGAGCTACTTCGTGCGTCTGGGCTCCCTGTCGGAGAGGCTGCGCCAGCGGGCCTACGAACACTCTCTGGGCAAGCTGCAGAACACCAGGCAGAGGGCACAGGAGGCCCTGCACCAGCTGACACAGACGCTTACCCTGGTGAGGTCCCTGGTGAGAGGGTTCGGTGGGGAGGGCCGTGGCAAGCAGCATATGCACCAGTGAGCCCACCCCACGCCTGGTGGCTTGTTCCTCCCCATTCTGCATATCTGCTTGGGCCGACTCATGCAGCTGCAGTCCTGGTTGAGTGTGCTGGGGCTGCTGTAACCGAGTACCCCGAACTGGGCAGCTTAAACAACACACATTTATTGCCTCACAGTTCTAGGGGCTGAGAGTTCAAGATCAAGATGTCAGTAGGGTTGGTTCTTTCTGAGGCTTCTTTCCTTGGTGTGTAGATGCTGTCTTCTCACTGTGTCCTCACCTGGTCATTCCTCCATGCGACTGTGTCCTAACATCCCCCTTTAAAAAAAAATTCATTCATTCATTTATTTTCTTTTTGGCCATGCTGTGCGTCATGCAGAATCTTAGTTCCCTCCCTGACCAGGAATTGAACCTGTGCCCACTGCAGTGGAACCTCAGAGTCTATTAATTAATAGACCACCAGGGAAGTCCACCTAATAGCCCCTTTTTATTTAAGGACACCAGTCATATAAAAACATTGTTGTTCAGTTGCTAAGTCATGTCCGACTCTTAACCCCATGGACTATAGCACACCAGGCTTCCCTGTCCTTCACTGTCTCCCAGAGTTTGCTCAGACTCATGTCCATTGAGTCGATGATGCCATGCATCATCATCCATCATCTATCATGCCATCTCATCCTCTGTGACCTCAACCTTTCCCAGTGTTAAGGTCTTTTCCATTGAGTCGACTCTTCACATCAGGTGGCCAAAGTATCGGAGCTTCAGTATCAGCATCAGTCCTTCCAGTGAATATTCAGGGTTGATTTCTTTTAAGATTGACTGGTTTGATCTCCTTGCAGTCCAAGGGACTCTCAAGAGTCTTCTGCAACACATTTCAAAGGCATCAGTTCTTCAGCACTCAGCCTTTTTTATGGTTCATCTCTTACATCTACATGACTACTGGAAAAACTGTAGCTTTGACTATATAGACCTTTGTTGGCAAAGTGATGCCTCTGCTTTTTAATATGCTGTTTAGGTTTGTTATAGCTTTTCTATAGCTCCAACCCCCTGGGCTTCCTGTGGATTCCTGCCTCTCCCAGCGTTCCTGTGGATCCCCAGGGGCTCTGCCAGCTTCATTCAATCCCTGAGGCAGCCACCGTCTGTCTCCCTCTGCCCCAGATGGAAACCGTCAAGCAGGGCATCGATCAGAAGCTGGTGGAAGGTCAGGAGAAACTACACCAGATGTGGCTTGGCTGGAACCAGAAGCGGCTGCAGGGCCCGGAGGAGGATGCGGCCAAGCCAGAGGTACCCACCTGGGGTGGCACTGGGTGCTTGGGGCCCTGGCTCCCCTCTCCACACGCTTTCCCCTGCTCCTCCTCCCATTAACTGCCTTCAGGACCTGATGACCACTCCTCCAGGATGCCTGCCTGGATTTCTACTCTTGGGTGCACGTATTGCTTCTGAACCACAGGGCACTGGATTGGGATGGGCCTCTACCTGCTGACTTCTAAGCCATGCTCCATTTTCTTGAGTCCTGACTCCCTGGGCATCCCAGGTGACTCAGTGATGAAAGAATCTGCCTGCCAATGCAGGAGGTGCAGGAGACACCGGTTCAATCCCTGGGTCGGGAAGACCCCCAGGAGGAATGGCAATCCACTCCAGTATGGTTGCCTGGAAAATCCCATGAACAGAGAAGCTTGGCCGACTACAGTCCATAGGGTCACAGAGTCAGACACGACTGAGTGACTGATTCCTCTCCCCCATCAAAGTGTCCCATCACATCCTTCATATTTACCTGCCAGACTCCTCATGACTGCTTCTCACTAACACGTTCTGGCCCCTCTAGTCCATTGCAAGCACTGGTCTCTTGAATGAGCCCTGACTTTTGCCACCTGTGCTATCACTCATCCAAGCTTTCACTGAATTGCTGCCTTAAACAATTCTCATGCCTCATTCTGAACCATAGCCTGTCTGTGTTAGGGACTCTTTTAATATCCTAGCATTGTTGGTTCTCAGCCTAACCTTGCTGGGCCTCAGTCTCCCCATCTGTGAATGGGGTGCAGGACCATCTGCAGGGTCATTAAGGTGAAATGAACATATGTGTTTACAGCAGTATTTGAGTCACAACAGCCCCAAAGTGGAACAGCCTAGATGTCCATCAGCAGATGATGTATCACAAAATGTGGTCCTTCCACACACGGGAGCATCACTCAGCTGTGAAAAGGAGGGAAGCCCAACACTCACTAACACATGGACGGACCCTGAGAACATGATGCTCAGTGAGAGAAGCAGACGCAGAAGGACATACGGGGTGTGATTCCACTGATGGGAAACATCCAGAACAGGCTGATCTGTTGACACAGACAGTGGAGGGTGGTTGTTGGGAGCTGGGAGAGGGGTAAGTGGGGAGGGAGTTTCTTGTTCTTTCCATTTTTTTCTTTTTGATCAAGCCAGGAGGCTTATGAGATCTTAGTTCCCTGACGAGGGATCAAACTTGTGCCCCTGGCAGTGAGAGCTCAGAGTCCTAACCACTGGACCGCCAAGGAATTCCCTCTTTTTTTGGAGTTTCTTTTGGGGTGATGGAATGTTCTGAAATTAGATAGAAGGGCTGGTTGCACTACCTGGTGAATGAATGTACTATATAAAAAAAAAAAAAATCACTGAATTGTTCACTTAAAAGCATGAGTTTCCTGGTATGTGAGTTATTTTACATACACACACACACACACACATTGACACATAAGGCACATAGTGTTAAAAAAAATTGTATTTCTAAAGATATGGAAAACTTTGCACATTCAGACCCTAACCACTTAAAACCATCTCCCGCAATCCCCCAACTGCTGAAGAAAAGATAGATATTGATCCTGGCAGCACCTCCTGGCCAGGTTCAAAGCCAGAGTTCTCAGCTGACCAGGCTCAGGACAGTCTAGGGTCCCTGCCTGCTTTGATTTCCTCCCCAGACTCAGAAATAGCAAATGTACTTTCTGTGGATGTTTCATACCAGTGGAATCATACACCATGTGGTGTATGACTGCTCTCACCAAGCATCGTGTCCTTAAGGTCCATCCACGTGGCAGCAAGTGTCAGGGCTTCACCCGTTTATTTGGCGGGAGAACGTCACGGTGTGTGAATGAATCACATTTTGTGTCCCCGTTTGCCAGCAGATGGGCATTTGCGTTGTTTCCGCTTTTGGCGGCTGTGAATAACACCCCTTTGAGCATTTGTGTACCAGTCTTGGCACAGACGTGCATTTTCTTTTCTCTTGGGCGGAAGTCTAGGGGGTGGAATTGCTGAGTCAAGTGCTTATTTAGGCTTACACTTTACTATTTTGAGGAACTGTCAGACCGTCTCCCAAAGTGACTGCTGCGCTCCAATATATGAGGGTTCCAATTTCTTCCCATCCTCGCCAGCACCTGTTTGATCTTTTATTTTTTTTTCAAATTTATTGGGCTGTTTTGGGCCTTAGTTGTGGCACTCAGGATCTTGAGTTTTAACATTCAGGATCTAGTTCCCTGACCAGGAATGGAACATGGACCCCATGCATTGGCAGCATAGAGTCTTAACCACTGGACCACCAGGGAAATCCCATATATGTCTTCTTCTAAAACAAATTTTTTTTTTTTGGCTGTGCTGGGTGTGTGTTGTTGCACGGACTTTTCCTGGTTGCAGCAAGTGGGACCTACTCTTTGTTTTGGTGCCCGGGCTTCTTTCTGCAGTGGCTTCTTTTGTTGCGGAGCACAGGCTCAGGTGCATGGGCTTAGTTGCCCCAAGGTATGTGGGAACCTTCCCAGACCAGGGATCGAACTGGTGTCCCCTGCTTTGGCAGGCAGGTTCTTAACCACTGGACCACCAGGGAAGCCCCCATATCTGTCTTTTTTGACCCAAATCATCCTAGTGTGGGTGAGTTGTGTCTCATTGTGGGTTTGAACTACACTTCCCTGATGTCTAATGAGGTTGAACATCTCTTCATGTGCTTATTGGTCTGCATATCTTCTTTGAAAATATCTCTGTGCCTGTTTTTCAATTTGACCGGCGATTATCTGGCACGGTTTGAAACTCAGCGCCGGTATTCTGAGCCTCCGTGCCCTGGGGAAAGGGTTTCCCCAAGGTGGGTGGAATATCCCCATTTCCTCTTTCCTGGTCTTTGGGTCCTGTTGTTGTTCAGTCGTGTCAAAAGTCGTGTCTGACTCTTTGCCCCCCTGTGGACTGTAGCCTTCCAGGCTCCTCTGTCCATGGGATTTTCTCAGGCAAGAATACTGGAGTGGGTTGCCATTTCCTTCTCCAGGGGATCTTCCCGACCCAGGAATCGAACCCATATCTCCTGCATTGGCAGGTGGATTCTTTACCGCTGAGCCACCCTGGAAGCCCCTTGAGTCCTGTTACCCCTCAAAGCAAAGGGTCTTGACGTCACGCCCCCGCCCTGCCCCTTCTCAGCAGGTCGAGTCCCAGACGCTTGCCATGTTCCGTGACATCACGCAGCAGCTCCAGACCACCTGTGCCTCTCTGGGCTCCAGCCTCCAGGGTCTGCCTGCCCACATCAAGGACCAGGCGCTACAGGCTCGCCAGCAGGTCGAGGACCTCCAAGCCACCTTCTCTGGCATCCACTCCTTCCAGGATCTGTCCAGCAGCGTCCTGACGCGGAGCCGCGAGCAGGTGGCCAGGGCCCGAGAGGCCCTGGACCACTTGGTGGAGTATGTGGCCCAGAACACACCCATCACGTGGCTGGTGGGCCCCTTCGCCCCCGGAATCGTCGAGAAGGCCCCAGAAAAGAAGAAATAGGAGAGGCTGGAGGAGGACTCAGAGGGCTCTGGCCTTCTCCGAGGGGCCGGCGAGTGACCAGGGACCCCTCACTGGGAACACACCTCAGGAAGCTGAGGTCCTCAAATCTGACCCGTCCCTCATCCTCTCCAAGCTTGGAGGAAGCGTGTCCTGAGCATCACATCCATCATCAGGACAAGATTTCCAGGAAAAGAAATTTTTTTTTTCTAGAAGGTTCCAATTTTTTTTTTTCTTCCTTGAAAACCAGGAATATAGTTCTTACGTCCCACACCCTTTTTCTACATTGAGTCCCCGGGTTATCAGCCTTAAGCTAGTGGACTTGGATCCCTGGGAGGTGGGCCTCTTAGGGGTGAGGTGGGGGCAGGGCAGCTGACACTCGGTCTGGAGCAGGAGGGGGCTCAGGCCTGCGCAGTGAGCCCTGGGTGCGGGAGGCTTCAGATTTGCCTTAATAAATTTTACCTGCAAAGTCCAGGCCTTGTATATTGTGTGTGTATGTGTGTGGCTTTTTTAAAAATTTTTCAGCAGAGGAACAACTCTGGAGTCTCTGTATGGCCTTCTTGGGCTGTGGGGGTCTTTCATCTCCCTGCCACTGGCCTGCCAGAGTCTTGCCCCCTTTGTCACATCCCAGGCAGCCAGCGGAAGGGAGAAGCATACCTCTTTTCCTGTACTGGGCCTTTCCAGCTGTGTGGGGGAACCGTGTGACCCCCAAAAGATGCTGATGACCTCATTTCTCACATGGCAAAGGAGACTTTGCAGATGGGATTCAATTAACACATTACTGACCAGACATATTAATGTGTCTTTTTTCACCTGAACGTCATTGACTGGAGATGTTATCAGTATGTTTTTAGAGAATGATACCATTATTATCAGGCTTCCCTAGTGGCTTCCCAGGTGGTAAAGAATCCACCTGCCAATGCAGGGGACATGGGTTTGATCCCTAGGTCTGGAAGATCCCCTGGAGAACGGAATGGCAAGCCACTCCAGTGTTCTTGCCCGGAGAATCTCCTGGACAGAGGAGCCTGGCAGGCTACAGTCCCTGGGGCTGTAAAGAGTCAGATACGACTAAGCAACTCACACACACACACATAATATTTATACATGTAGATATATATATATAAAAGACTCCAGACTTCTGACCTCTAGAACTGTCAGATGATAATGTGCGTGGTTTCCAGCCGCTGTGTTTGTGGCCATTTATTACAGCAGACTCAGGGAACTTGTCCTGGCTTTGAGGAATTCAAGGTTGCTAGTTTGGGGTTTCCAAAATTTCTGTGTCCATTTCTGAGGCTGGCCGTGTTCCCACTCCTGTGCTAATGTTTGCTTACAGAGAAAACACAGCAACCAAATTCTCTACCCACTCTGGCCCAGGACCATTCCGTATGCTTCACATACAAACCGTTTTGGTCTTGCGCTTCATTTCATTTCATTTATTTTTTCAGGCTGTGCCGTGTGGCATGCGGGATCTTAGTTCCCCTTCCAGGGCTTGAACTCAGGCACCCTGCATTGGGAGTGTGGCATCTTGACCACTGGACTGCCAAGGAAGTCTCTGGTATTGAGCTTTACACAATACCAGGTGGAGCACGCGGTAGGGAAGGGTCCACCTTCCGTCAACCATGTTGGTGATGGCAGGGCTTTGTGCTCATTCTATTTATGACATGCTCCTAAGGGCTCGGCATCCTGTGCTGGGCTGCCCATGCTGGACTCCAGCTTGGTGATGAGACATGGGTCCACTGGCCAGCTCCTTGGTCCCTGCTGTGTGACCCTGGGTGGGGTCTTTTGCCTCTCTAGCCCTCCGTTTCATTGATAACCGGTTCAGTGCAGTTCTGTGCAAAGATTCTGTGGAGTGGTGTACTTAAAGATCCTAAGGTCAGGACCTCCCTGGTGGTCCAGTGTTTCAGACCTTCATCTTGCAACCCTGGAGGTGCAGGTTTGATCCCTGGTTGAGGAGCTAAGATCCCACGTGCCTTGTGGCCAAAAAAAGCCGAAGCAGAAAACAGAAGCATTGTTGTAACAAATTCAATAAAGACTTATTTGATTCACATCAGGGGCTTCCCTGGTGGCTCAGTGGTAAAGAATCTGCCTGCCAATGCAGGAGCCATGGGTTCGATCCCTGATCCAGGAAGATCCCACGTGCTGGGGAGCAGCTAAGTCCACGTGCCACAACTGCTGAGCCTGTGCTCCGGAGCCCTCGAGCTGCAACTACTGAAGCCCAGACACCCTAGAGCCCATGCTCTGCAACAATGAGGAGCTCGCGCGCCACAACTACAGGTAGCCCCTGCTCGCCACAAAGAGAGAAAAGCCTGAGCAGCAAAGGAGACCCAGTGCAGCCAAAAATCAATAAATAAAATTACATTAGTAAAACAATATTTCATTGTGTATTTGAAAGTTGCTGAGAGTCGGTCTCATCACAAGAAAAGAAAAATGTTTATGTGAGGTGATAGATGTTACCTAGACATATTGTGGTCTTTTCACAATATATTGTTAATATATTGTGTGTTAGCCACTCAGTCTTGTCCAACTCTTTGTGACCCCATGAACTGTAGCCCACCAGGCTCCTCTGGCCATGGAATTCTCCAGGCAAAAATACTGAAGTGGGTAGCCATTTCTTTCTCCAGGGTATCTTCCCGACCCTGGGATCAAACCTCGGTCTCTGGCACTTCAGGCAGATTCGCTACCATCTGATCCACCAGGGAAGCCCAGTATATACATACATCAAATCGTTATGTTGTACGCCTAAGCTTAATGCTGTGTTGTATGTCAATTATTTTTCAAAAATAAAAAAACAAAAGATTAAACATTTTGGGATAGTAGTAAGAAAAAGGACACATAAAAATAAATTCAAAATTAGATGCCATGGAAAATTTGCCTGTCAACTCTTAGAAATGAATACTTGCTGTGTGTCAGGCAGTGTGGTAAAATGATTTAGAGTAAAAGTCTGCAAACCATCCTGAGGGCCAATACTATCCAAAGAATTTGTCTGTTGGCATGACTCACAAGCTAAGAATCTGTACATTTTTAAAGCAAAATTACACAACAGTGACCTCCTGTATACTGCAAAACTGAAAAGGCTTACTACCTAACCCTTTACAGGAATAGCTTGCCAACCTGCTTGAGACCACCATACTGGCCTTCTTCCTGTTCCATCTTATTGCTTAGACTTAACTGTTTCTCCCAGTAGGTAAAGATGGGAATAAGAATGAATTACTGATATTCATAAGGACGTGGTTGAAACTCACAGGCATGATGCTGAGGGAAAGAAGGCAGATGCAAATGCACCCACAAACTGGTTCTCTTTTGATGAAGTTTCAAAATCAAAACTAAAACCATGATGAGAGAAACCAGGCGGGTGGTTGTCCTGTGGGTAGGGACAAAGAAGGGGACCTCGGAGACTTGTAGCGGTTGGAATCACCTCTAATATATCTCAGTAAGGAAGTTGGTTACAGGGAGTGTGTGAAATACGAAGGGCTTCCCTGGTGGCTCAGATGGTAAAGAATCTGGCTGCAAATGTAGAAGAACCCAGATTTTATCTCTGGGTCGCAAAGAGTGTGTACATGCCCCCAAACCCACTGAGCTGTCCCTTTAAGCTTTATAGACTTCAGTGCTTATGAATTACACGTCAATACAAATTAAGAAAGAGAAAGTGGCATGGTGATGGAGATGTGGGAAGTAAGCCCTCCGCTTCACTTCCTGGGGGAGCGCAAACAGGGCTACTCTTTTGGACAAAAAAAAAATCTCTGGCAGGGTTTAGTAAGAGTGAGAGTATTTCTTCTCCATGTCTGAAAAGATCCAGAAGTTCCTGTTCTTTGCAGTTACCCTAGAAACTCTTAGAAACCCTTTCAATGAAGTCACCTAGTCCTTTTTTTTTTTTTTACCCCAGTTCAG